GGAGGATGGAGAGGAGGATGGAGATGAGGATGGAGGAGGGGAGAGGGAGGAGGAGGGAGAGGATGGGAAGGGAGGAGGGGGAGGGTAACTTTCCTCTCCCATTTCCGGCCCTGACACTCCGGGCTACCTGACTGGTTTGGTGAAGAGCCCTGCTCCCTTCCTTTCCACAGCTGCCTCTAGACCTCCATTGCTGACCCTAACTCCAAAGCCACGGTGATTTCCTTCCCCGCGGTTACTAAGAGTCATAGATTGCCGGCCCTGTTATTTTTCTCTCCAACGCTAACAAGACGGTCCTGGAGCCACTTTCTGGAGACCTAAGAACTCACAAAAGGAAAACCTAAGAATTCCCAACAAGGTGCTCACCCCGACTCAGTTCTGCAGAAAGCCCCCCAGGGCCATGGTGTTCTCTGCTGTACACCCACAGCGCTAGAAAGTCCCCGGAGAGAAACAGACACTGCCATTCTAAGGTCTGCCCAGCTGCTCTCAGCCGCCTTGGCCTTGACCAAGCCCTTGTCCCGGCCCTACATCCTGCGGTGTCCCGGTGTCCGGGCGCCACCACTTACCTGCAGGGCCACCCGAAGGAAGCCCCGCTTCATAGACCTGGGCTGCGCACAGATCATGAGCGGTGGAGCTGCGGATGCCCTGGGTGGCTCACAGCCAGCAGGGGCTGATCCGCTGCGATGTTGCCCTACAGACGGCGCCTCCTCCCTGTTTACAAGCTCTCCACCTCCTGGGACCGAGATTATACCTCCCGACCCAGGACCTGTGCACCTGGGCCACTGCCGGCAAGGTGCATTGGCTCACCCTGCCCAAGTGGGAGGGGGCTGGCATTGCCGAGGCGTGCAGAGCCTTCTCGCAGGGAAGTGGCTTTTCAAGAGGAGACGCTGGCTGCAGTGTGCAGATCGCCCCAAAGTGTGACCCCACACCCCAGACCGGGAGCAGAAGTCATCCTGAGGTGCTAGGCCCTGGGTTTCTACCCCTCGGAGATCACTGTGACCTGAGGGATGGGGAGGACCGAACTCAGGACGTGGGAGCTTGTGGAGACCAAGCCTGCCGGGGGTGGAGCCTTCCAGAAGCGGGCAGCTGTGGCGATGCCGTCTGGAGAACAGCAGATATAGACATGTCATTTGAAGCACAGGGTCGGTCTGAGCTCCTCAGGCTGAGGTGGAAGCCCACGCTTCGGCTCCCATCCCCGTCCTGGGCATCACTGTTGGCCTGGTTCTCTTTGGAGTTTGAGTCGCTGGACCTGTGGCTGCTGTCATGATGAGCAAGAGGAACACGGAGTCTCTCACGTGACCTCCCAGGCCCGGCTATATAATCCTGAGGGTTAAAGCTTTGTTACCACGCTGGACTCTCCCTGGAGTCTGGGTGTGTCTGTAAGGGCATCCCACCAAGTGGGAAGCAAGACCTACCTTGAATTGGGTGGAACCGTCCATAGAATGGGGGACCCAGGCTGAATTAGGGGGAGAAGCCTGAAGTGTTCCAGTATTCCGTGTGTGTGTGTGTGTGTGTGTGTGTGTGTGTGTGTGTGTGTGGTTTTTCAAGACAGGGTTTTTCTGTGTAGTTTTGGTGCCTGCCTGGCTCTGCCTCCCGGGTGCTGGGATTAAAGGCATGTGCCACCACCACCCTGCTAGTTCCAGCATTCTTTTTTTTTTTTTTTTTTTTTTTGGTTTTTCGAGACAGGGTTTCTCTGTGTAGCTTTGCGCCTTTCCTGGAACTCACTTGGTAGCCCAGGCTGGCCTCGAACTCACAGAGATCCGCCTGGCTCTGCCTCCCGAGTGCTGGGATTAAAGGCGTGAGCCACCACCGCCCGGCTAGTTCCAGCATTATTTTGTTTTGTTTTGTTGTTTTTTTATTTTTTTTTCTTTACCCCCTGCATCTGGACACCGAGAGCTGCGAAAGTCCCACTGTGTGCTCTTTCTGCTATGGATTCCACCAGGTCCTCTTTGCCCTCTGAAGTCACAAATCAAAATAAATTCCCTTTAAGAAAAAAAGGAGGGGCCGGAGAGATGGCTCAGCAGTTAAGAGCACTGGCTGTTCTTCCAGAGGTCCTGGTTCAATTCCCAGCACCCACATGGAGGTTCACAACTGTCCGTAACTCCAGTTCCAGGAGACCTGACATCCTCACACAGGCATCTATGTAGGCAAAACACCAATGCACATAAAATAAGAATAATTTTTTTTTTTTTTTAAAAAGGAGCCGAGCAGTGGTGGCGCATCCCTTCAATTCCAGCACTTGGGAGGCAGAGACAGGCAGATCGCTGTGAGTTCGAGGACAGCCTGGTGTACAGAGTGAGTTCCAGGACAGCCAAGGCTACACACACAGAGAGCCCTGTCTCAAAAAACAAAACCAAAGCAAAACAACAACAACAAACCCCACAGAAAACAAACAAAAACCACTTTAAGGGGCTGGAGAGACCGCTCAGCAGTTAAGAACACCGGCCGCTCTCACAGAGGACCGGGTTTGGATCCCAGCACCTACAGGGCAGCTCACAAAGGTCTGTAATTCCAATCCTAGGGCAGGTCACTGAATGCGTGTGGTGCGCCTCATACACACGTGGGCAAAGCATCCACATGCACAAAATTTAAGAGAAAATACAATTTAAGAGAAAAGAAAAACATCTAAGAGTACCCTCTCCCACTTCCCACCCACGAACAGGACCCGTATGTTTGTGGAAAAGTTATTCATATTAAAACATTACTGTTCATTTAACACACCAAAATACTGGGAACACTGTCTGAGGATTTTTTTTTTCCTTCGAGACAGGGCTTCTCTGTGTAGTCCTGGCTGTCCTGGATCTTACTCTGTAGACAAGGCTGGCCTCGAACTCATAGAGATCTGCCTGCGGGGATTAAAGGCATCTGTCTCACACCACCACTGCCCGGCTCAAGGATGTATTTTTCAACAGGAAAACAGCAACAAACCCCATATGATAGCATTGTTTACCAACCTAAAGAACTTCTGAATCCACTGTCAAAGTAACCAATTGTTACCAATCACCAATGGGAAAACACACTCCTGAGAAGTACATGACCCAGCTCGGTGGCGGCCGCCAGTTCCAGCCATGCCGAGGAACACAGGTAAGCGGTTAGCCTCAGGCTAAGAGAAATAGTTCACTTAGTGTGTGCTGTTTCTCCTGTTGGGAACATAAGCTTGGACATTCAGTGTATTGTTTAAAAATTCAGGTGCTAGCCGGGCGGTGGTGGCGCTCGCCTTTAATCCCAGCACTCTGGGGGGCAGAGGCAGGCGGGATGGGATCTCTGTGAGTTCAAGGCCAGCCTGGGCTACAGAGCGAGATCCAGGAAAGGCGCAAAGCTACACAGAGAAACCCTGTCTGGAAAAACCAAAAAACCAAAAACCTAAAAATTCAGGCGCTGGTGCGGTGGCTCAGTGGGAAAGAGCACTGGCTGCCCTGGCAGAGGATCTGGGTTTGATCCCCGCACCCACATGGGGGCTCTCAGTTGTCTGTGCTCCAGGGAATTTGGCACCCTTCCATCTGACCTCCAAGGGCACTCCCCCCCTCCCCCACATATATAAAACACAAATTCTTTTTTTGTTTTTTTGAGACAAGGTTTCTCTGTGTAGTTTTGGTGCCTGTCCTGGATCTCGCTCTGTAGACCAGGCTGGCCTCGAGACCTCGAACTCACAGAGACTGTGAGTGCTGGGACTAAAAGCATGCGCCACCACTGCCTGGCAAATTCTTTTTTTTTTTTTTTAATTAAAATAAAAATGAACTGCAAGAAAACCACTAAACTCATTCATCTCTGTAAAAATCTCTAACTGCCTCATTGTAATAAATCTCATAATTCCTTTTAGTGCCGAGTTACTAGTGAGAAAAGCTAATTAAGAACTCCAACTAAAATAGATTATATTCATTTTTAAATATATTATTATTATTATTATTATTATTATTATTATTATTATTATTATAGTTCTTTGAGGCAGGGTTTCACTGTGTAGACCAGGCTGGCCTGGAACTCACAGAGATCCACCTGCCTTTGCCTCCCGGGTGCTGGGATTAAAGCTGGGCGCCACCGCCACCGCCACTGCCACCACCACCACCACCGGCTTTAAAAAAAATTCTATTTTAATTTTTTTGGGACAGGGTCTCATTGTGTAACCCTGTCCGGCCTGGAAACCCTGTGTGGAGCAAGTTGGCCTACGAATTCATAGAGTCTCTTGCCTGAGCCTCCTGAGCGCTGTGATTTTTTTTTTTTTTTTTTTTTACTTTTTTGTTTTGTTTTGCTTTTCGAGACAGGGTTTCTCTGTAGCTTTGGAGCCTGTCCTGGAACTCCCTCTGTAGAGCAGGTTGGCCTGGAACTCACAGAAATCCACCTGTCTCTGCCTCCCAAGTGCTGGGATTAAAGGTATGCATAAGATGACAGGCCACGTTCATCTCTCCTTAAAACTTCGACTTCAAGGAGACCTGAGAGATGGCTCAGTGGTTAGGATTGGAGATGGTGCCCAGCATCCAACCGGGTGACTCACAACTACCTGTAACTCACACGCATATCTTGCAAAGAAAATAAATCTTTAAAAAAAGAAAGAGGGGGGCCTGGAAGGATGGCTCAGCGGTTAAGAGCACTGGCTGCTCTTCCAGAGGTCCTGAGTTCAATTCCCAGCAACAACCATCTATAATTCGATCTGGTCCCCACTTCTGGCACGTAGGCAGAATACTGTATACATAATAAATAAATCTTTAGAGAGAGAGAGAGAGAGAGAGAGAGAGAGAGAGAGAGAGAGAGAGAGAAGAGAAAGTTAAAAAATGAGAAGAAAAAGTGGAAGACTGAAAAATTAAGAAGAAATAAAAGGATGAGAGGGAGGATGGGGAGGGGAGAGGATGGGAGGGAGGATGGGGAGGGGAGAAGGAGCTGCCTGTTATCCCGGAGCTCCACCTCGGCGCTTCCCATTGGTTGGGGGAGGGCACATGACCTCTGCCAACAGCTTGTTGGAGCGCATGCTTCTGAGCAGTTAGGGCTGGAGCCCCGGGCTGCAGCGGAGCCGAGGCCAAGGTGAGGAGGCGTTGAGAGCCCCCGCTGAGCGGTGTCAAATCCCAAGTTGCTTCTCAGAGGAGCTCTGGCCTTGGGCGCCTGGGGCCGAGGCCCCCTCCAGCCAATAGCCATTTTTAAAACAAAACTTTGCTGCATGTCTGTCTGTCTGCCTGCGCACTACTATGTGTACCTGGTGCCTGTGGAGGCCAGAAGATGATGTCGGATCCTCTGGAACTGGAGTTATAGATGGCTGTGAGCTGCATCTGGGTGCTGGGAATTGAACCTGGATCTTCTGAAAGAGCAGTCGGTTCTCTTAACCGCTGAGACTCCCTCCAGCCTCTACAGCCACAATTTATATCCCTTTTCCCTATTCCTGAAGCGTTTGGGAGTTCTTTATCGACATTGATTCTTTACAAGGTCCCCAAAGTACCCATGAATGGTTGACATGCTGTGTTGCTTAAAAGCAATCTAGACACTTACATGGCTTGACCTATATATATCCTATTTCATAGGAAGGGAAGAGAAAAAAAACAGTTACATCACACACACACACACACACACACACACACACACACACACACACAGCATGGAGGTGCCTTTACAGAGTCCATGGCTCCCTGAAACACTTCTGTTCTCACAGGTCACAGTCGGCTTTCTCGGCCCGAGGAGAACACCACTGACCAGAACCAGCCAGAAGAAATCCAGCCAGTGACCATGCAGCTGAGACAAATTGGGGACAGTGTCCATCGCAGGATGATTCAAGAGGTGAGACCACAGTCTACCCAGTGGGGGGCGGGCTGTCAGGGTGGAGGGGGAGAGGGAGAGTCAGAACAATGGCTGCCAGGCAGCCAGGGTGCCCAGGAATGATCCAAACTCATGGATTAATGGTGTGTAGGTCACCAAACACTATACCTACGAGCTATGACCCTGGGGCAAAGCCAGCCTGTGGTCTCATGTCTGCACCTCCCACTGTGGTCCATGACCCTGGGCAAAGCCAGCCTGTGGTCTCATGTCTGCACCTCCCACTGTGGTCTGAGGACAGTTGGCACAGCATCTCCCGGCAGCTGATGTGCCATGACTCAGACCACAGCCGGCACTGGCAGTGGATGCGTCTCTTCATGTATTCTGGGGGGAGTCTGTGAGGCTCCCTCTTCTCCAGTGACTCCAGCCTGTGTCAGGGAGAGATGCTAAGGGACACTAGGGTGGACTGACGGGTACTGTTTGGAACCTTGGGGGTGACCAAGCGTAGTGTTCTTCTAGAAGCTCCTGCAGAGTGTTGGACTCCACTGTTCTCTAGCTGCCTAGTCTTTTTGAACATCAATTTCTTTTTTTTTTTAAATCCCCGCCCCCTGTGTTTTAAGACAGGGTTTCTCTATGTAACAGCCCAGGCTGTCTTGGAACTCACTCTGTAGCCCAGGCTGGCCTCGAACTCACAGAGATCCGCCTGCCTCTGCCTCCCGAGTGCTGAGATTAAAGGCGTGCGCCACCACCGCCCGGCCTGTTTTGTGCTTCTTAAAATATTTTTGATTTTGCCATTTTGTTCTACATGTTTATTTTATATAGTTATATAGTTCTTGTTACTCTGTCCCTCCCACCCCCAAGTCTAGGCCATGTAATTTCTCCATATACAGTTTTAAGATGCCACACTTGGGGGCAGTGGTGGCGCACGCCTTTAATCCCAGCACTCAGGAGACAGAGGCAGGCAGATCTCTGTGAGTTCGAGGCCAGCCTGGGCTACAGAATGAGTTCCAGGAAAGACACAAAGCTACACAGAGAAACCCTGTCTCGAAAAACCAAAAAGAATGAAAAAAAAAAAAAAAAGATGCCACACTTGGAAGCCAGGTGTGGTGGCTCAGACCTGCCAGCCCAGCCCTCGGAGGCAGAGGCAGGAAGATCGGAAATCTAAGGCCATCCTCAGCTACACACGGAGTTTGAGGCTAGCCTGGGCTACTTGAGATCCTGTCTCAAACAAAACAAAACAACCCCAGTAGCAGCACACTTCCGCTTCTTAACTTAATGGGGATCTTTGGACCTCTGTAGGTCCTTCCTGGTGCTGGAAACTGTCCCTTTGGGAACACAGGCTCTTTATTTAACCAAATTAGCCTGATTGGGACATTGCATTGTTCCCTGGGACCTGAGTTATGTAGTAATGCACCAGAGAATTTAGAGTTTATTCCATTCCATGAGCTCCTCTCGGAGAGATTTCCCAGCAGCAGGTGAGTTACCGCAGCATCCTTGTCAAGGCAGGTGAGTGCCAGAGACACGGCACAGCCTGGCCAAGGCCGCCAGCTGCGTGTGAGTGGCGAAACGGTGATTTATAGACTGTTTATAGTGCCCCATGGTTTTCCTCGCGGCCACACCAGAGGGACAGGCATTCAATTTTTCTAAGTGATGTCAGCTACAGAAAGGGTCAAAATCCCCTGTTTTTCAGTTACTGACAGAACGGAGTCCACATTCCTTATTCTGTGGCCCGTGGCTGTCCATTAACTGAGCTGGTCACTCGAATATCCAGTCTCCTATCGTGCAGGCGCTCCTGCAGTGTGCTACGCACTACTAAAACACGGAGTTACAGCCTTGATCAAAAGGGACAAAAGTGTGACCTCACCGAGTTTCTGAAGGAGCCGAAGAGTAAATGAAGTGTGTAATTAGATAGTAGAAAGTGTCGAGGAACAAAAGACAGAGCTTTAGGAGTGACACCTGCTGGAGGCTGGAGGGATGGCTCAGTGGTTAACACTGCCTGCTCTTCCAGAGGACCCGGGTTCCATTCCCATCACCCACGATCAGCTCACTGGTGCAGTTAGTTTCAGGTGATCTGCCGCCCTCTTCTGGCCGCAGTGGGAATTGCATGCAAGTGCTGCGCAGAGGTCCATGTGGACAGAATACCCTCAAGAGCAGGCAAAACACTCACCCAGGGTCTGGAGGGCGGGCAATTAAGAGAGCGTACTGCTCTTCCAGAGGACCTGAATTCAATACTCAGAACCTACACAAGGTGCTCACAACCACCTGTAACTTCAGCTCCAGGGGCATTCAATACCCTTTGGCCTCTGTGGTACCTGCAATCACATGCAGACCCCCTCACACATAGACATAGTAACAATAACAAATATAACCATGCATACAAATAAAACCATGCATACACATATATAAGCAATAAATAAATAAATAAATAGATAGATAGATAGATAGATAGATATGTGTATATATGGGTGGGTATACACACACACACACACACACACACACATATATATATATATATATACTTATTTATTTTGAGACCTGGCCATCATGGCTGACACTTGCTCTGTAGCCCAGGCTGGCCTCAAACTCACAGAGATCTGCCTGCCTCTGCCTCCCAAGTACTGGGGTTAAAGGCGTGCGCCACCACCGCCTGGCTAAAAAATCAATCTTAAAAAGAAAGAGCAAGACTTCGAGAAGAATGAAGGGCAGATTCACTGCTAAGCTGTAAGACTTTCCAAGAGTTTAGGGTGGGGGCTGTGCAGGCCACTGAGCCCCTGAGGCTGGTGGTGTACACAGACAGCCACAGCCCTCGGGAGGCAGGGGCAGGGAGATCACATGACCTAGTGTGGAGCATGAGCTATGGGGTAGCCATGGAGACATAGCGAGACCCTGTCTCAAAAGCCAACCTCAAATAAAAGCATGTGGCCAGAGAGAGGTGAGTGACAGCAGATCATAAGGGTCCTTGATGTCACCTGAAGGGCTTGTCCCCTCCCCCATACACACTGGGGATCGAACCCAGGGTCTCACAAATGCCAGGCAGGTGCTCTATGACCAGGCTATATTCCTAGCTCTTTTATTTTATTTTCTTTCTTTCTTTTTTCTTTTCTTTTTGGTCTTTCGAGATAGGGTTTCTGTGTGTAGCACTGGCTGTCCTGGACCTATGCCGCCGCGGGAGGGTGGAGGGGTGGGGGTGGAGGGCTGGGAGGGGGTCATTAGGCTGATGGCAAGTGCCTTTACCTGTCGAGACATCTCGCCAGCCCCGAACCCCGAACTTGCAACGCTAAACATGACACAACCGTCTGTTTACACAGCATCTTCCACAGGAAGCCGCGGATGCCCTGGGTCCTTTTGTGGAGCTGATGTTCCTGAGAGGTCAGGCTCTGCTGCGATTTTTCTGGAACAACCATTTGCTGTGAAGGACAGACAGACAGACAAGCCCCGCCCATGGGCTGCTTCCCAAGGGGCAGGAGTCCTGCTTCGGTATCAAGCTCTCTCTCCAGCTCTCCTCCCCCACTGCTGAGGGTCGGCGTCTGTTGATGTCCAGAGCGGACAGATGGCGGCCTCGCCGGCCTCCCGCTGAAGCCCGAGAAGTCAGGAGCCTGGGAGGCCTGACCACACAGAGAACATCACCAGTGACCCCCTGCGAACCTTCCCACAGACCTCTGGGCCTCTCCTTGGGTCATGCCCTCTGACCCTCTGACCCTGCAATTGTCACCCGTATCGAGAGCTTCAGGACCGACCCCCCCTGGCCCCCCTGGGCTGCCCCTCCGATGTTCCGTGCAAAGCAGGAAGGATTCGGGTCTCCAGTACTCAGAACTGAGTTCTGGCCCAGACGCGCTCTCCTCCATGCCAGACCCCATCACCTGTTCGAAGCCTATCTCCTGCTCCGACCGGGCCAGGTCTCCTGCTTTCTCAGGTATATGGAGCCCCTCTTGCCTCTGAGGTTCCCCCAGGCCTTTCCTGCCCCCATCCCTCAGCCCTGCCTCCCACAGACATCTCTCCAGCCCCATCCCCTCCTGTGTGCCCAGCAAGCCCCCCTTCTAGGGAGCTGGGGGCCGAGGCGGTTAGGGCCGAGGCCCCACCTTACTGCTGTTTCTTGTTGCCCATGGTCAGCCTGTTGCATTTGTTTTCCTCATTCTCTGGTCTCTTTCATCCTCTTTTGATCTTTGGAGGTTTAGTCTGTCTCAGGGCCCCTCCCACCCCCTAAAACAATGTCCAGTCCTAAGAAAGTTCATTAGTAGTTACAAGTTCTGGGTGTGCACATTTTGAGTTCTTAGTAGGTGTTACTTTAAAAAAAAAAAAAAGTGAGGGCTGGAGAGACAGCTCAGAGGTTAAGAGCACCCACTGCTCTTCCAGAGGTCCCGAGTTCAATTCCCAGCACCCATGTGGTGACTCACAACCATCTGTAATGAGATCTGGCACCCTCTTCTGTGTACATAATAAATAAATAGATCTTTTTAAAAAAGTGAAATAAACATGATTTTATTGACCACAGAACCTCTGTGTGTCTCCTTTGCAGAGGAGGGATTCCACATGTTTCCACTTGTAATGGTAGACATCTGTATCAGAACTGTTGGGGTCCAGCCCCAGATAACCTTTTCCCAGGGTCCGGGCAAGAATCTACAACCAGCTGAGGATCTAATCTCAGGAATATTGAATGAATGTATGCACACTGAGCTCTTTCAGTCCATTCACTTTATTCTTGATTGATTTTTTTGGGGGGCGGGGTGTTTCGAGACAGGGTTTCTCTGTGTAGCTTTGGCACCTGTCCTGGACTAGCTCTGTAGACCAGGCTGGCCTCGAACTCACAGAGATCCACCTGCCTCTGCCTCCCGAGTGCTGGGATTACAGGCGTGCGCCACCACCGCCCGGCCACTTTATTCTTCTAAGTCAGTTCCACAAGTGGCGTGGGGGTGCTGGTTATATGTACTTACCAGCAGTAATTCTTCGGCAATGCAGCACGAGGTTTGAAGTTTTCAGGGTCATAGAGAGAGGTGATGAGATCCACACAAAGAGCAGTGGTTGTCAGCTTTCATTTGCAACCCCAAAGGGGGGTGACTAATGGAAGTTCTCTGGTCGGGTCAACTAAGGGCTAAAATCGATTAGGGGATTTAAAGAGGGATTTATGCGCTCAGACTATTCCCCGCAGCGCCACTTTCTGGCGGGGCAGGGGAAGGGTTCTCGGTTGCTAGGCAACCTGTGCCACAACATGTAGCATCTGGTCCGTAAAAGCACTTTTGCTCTGAGTTAATTGCTAAAGGGAGGACTCTTTAGAACTAAGGATAACACCTGGGCTATGGATGAAAGATGAGGATTTAAGCTTAATTTGCACAAGAATCGAAGCTTGGCACTGATCCTCCTCTGGCTGGCGTTGTCTCATTGGGTCAGTGGGAATGTTTACCTTGTCTCAGTAACTAGCAGATGGCCATCCACCATCCTGGTAATAGTGAGCAGTAAATCTCTTACATTAGGGTCTTGTGTTAATAAACCAGGGTGAAGGTGAAGAGTTAAGGATTTAAGGTTAGTGAGGTTGGCTTCTATCAGTAGGCAAGATGAGCTCAGGGCACGCTAATGCTTATCTATCTGCAGTCTGTCCTCGGATATCTGAGAAGTGTCTCAGATGAAATACTTTTGTCCAGAGAGGGCCCTGGCCAGATGTCTGCTAATGGAGATAATTACAGAAAGGCAGACTCTAAGTCTACACTGAAGCAAACGGAACAAAGGCCTGAGTGTGGGAAAAGAGTGTTTGTGTGACTGTTTTCACACATACATAGTCAAAGGGATGTCATCCATAGGTCCCAAACTTATAAGGGAAATTACACTCAATAAGCGATCAACCGCACTGTTAGAAGTTCTTGGGAAAGGGCTGGAGAGATGGCTCAGTGGTTAAGAGTATTGGCTGCTGTTCCAGAGGACCTGAGTTCAATTCCCAGCATCCACATGATGGCTCCCAACCATCTGTTATGGGATCTGATTCTCTCTTTCAGTGTGCATGAAGACAGGTCACTCATATTCATAAAATAAATAAATATTAAAAAAAAAGAAGTTCTTGGGAAAAGAATCAGATGGGAAATCTACAACAGCACACAGGAAATTCCCTGCAGGAGACAGCTAATACATTCAAAAGCCGACATCACCCAACCTCCTTGAGTTTTGGTTTCCCTCTGGCAGATCCCTTGGCTGTGCCAGGTTTCCAGCCTTGTAGTGCCAGCTGAATTCCCACTTCGTGTTTCTGCGGCTTGTAGCACATATACTCATCTCTGTCCTTCCAAAGGGAAATGTTCCCCAGCTTCGTTAATCTTTGGGGTTGACTATATGGCTTAGCCAGTAAAGGGGCTTGCCAACAAGTCTGATGGCCTGAGTTCAATCCCAGGGACCCACATGAGAAGGAGGGGCCTGACTCCAGAAAGCTGTCCTATGTGCACACACACATAGGCACACAGAATAAAATACAGTTAATAAACATATTTTGAAATCCTTTGAGTAGATATTCCTGTGATTTCAAAATCAAAGCAATAGGAAAAGAATTAAAATGAAAATCCTTCTTATGCCCTTGTGTCGCCCCTAATTATACAAAGAAATATATATACATACTATATATACATATATGTATATACACACACTATACTGCACACCATGTATTCTTCCAGTGGTAGCTGAGGAATTGGCTGTTTTAATGCCCTTCTCAAATCCATAATGCTCCTCTAAAAAAAAAAAAAAAAAAAAAGAAAAAAAAAAAAAAAAAAAAGAGAGAGAGCCAGGTGGTGGTGGTGCACACCTTTAATCCCAGCACACAGGAGGCAGAAGAAGCAGGCCGATTTCTGTGAATTTGAGGCCAGCCTGGGCTATAGAGTGATTTCCAGGACAGGCTCCAAAGCTACACAGAGAAATCCTGTCTTGAAAACAAAACAAAAATATGCCGGGCGGTGGTGGCGCACGCCTTTAATCCCAGCACTCGGGAGGCAGAGCCAGGCGGATCTCTGTGAGTTCGAGGTCAGCCTGGGCTACCA